CCCCGTGTCCAGTGACCGCGCCACCTCGCGGCTTTCCCGCTGTACCCTTGACGCTGATGAGGCGGCTCAGCACCAAACAGGCATTCAGAACATGTCTCTGGAGTGAGTGCGGTGGCTTCCGTGAGGGACGGCCCACCAAATCCTGGCTGCTCCTCGGCCCTACCTGTCCAGGGTTGCTCCCCCAGTGGGGCCCCGAGGCCGCGGAGGCAAGGAGGGAGGCCGGCCCTCCTGGGCACACAGCTCCCCAGGCAGCCCAGAGGGAGGCCCCGGGGCAGGCAGGGTGTCCTGGCCTGTCCTGCCTGGCTAGTGGGACAAAGTGCTCCTTGGGGCCCTGACCGAGGCTGTGGGGCGTGGAGAGGGGCCGCAACAGGTTCGGACGCTGCCTGTGGGAGCTGAGAGGCCAGCCCAGCTGGGCGTGAGCTAGAGGAGGGGCATCCCCGCGGGGAGAGGGGGCCCCTGTGCCTCTAGGTGGGAAGGTCTGAGTTAGGTGCCCCTGTCCCACCCCCCACTGCCCAGGAGGAGCCGTCCCAGGCAGCCCCGGGGAGATGGCACCAGGAGGTGCCCCCCTCCGCAGCCCTTGGATCCCCTCTCTGGCCCCGCGAGGTCCCCGGGCGTGAGGACGACAGGAGGCCACCGCAGGAGGAGCCTCCCTGGACGCAGCTGGCTGGGCGGCCATCTGGCCTGGGAGCTGCCCTCGGGCCCCGCCCTCCAGCTGCTGCTGAGACCAGGCAGCCTGACAGCTGGCAGCTGCAGAAGGTGATAGGCCCGAGGCCGCGGAGCTCCGGAGGGGCAGGCAGCCACCCTCCTCGGGGCCCTGCTGCAGCACTTCTTGTTGGAAACATCTGGCCGAGGGATCCCCAGGGGCCCCAGCGTGGGCTGGGGCGGGCAGACAGGAGTGGGGCCTCGTCTTGCCATTCCACCTGAGGTGCAGAGGGGGTGTCCTGGAGGGGAGCGCTCTGCTCTCCCTCCGGGAGGTCTGAGGACAGGCTCACACGGGGTGCAGAAACGGGCGCGGGGCTCCCGGCACGTCTTGGTGGGCACCGGAGCTCCGTGCAGAACCGGCAGGGGGGCCTCCTGGAGATGGGCCGGTGGCCAACGAGCCGGAGGTTTAGTATGGTAGGACTATGGCCGGGCGGCCTCCCGGCCAGGACGCCTGTCCTCTCGTGGCCACTGGGGCCTGGAGCGGCTGGGGAGTTGCCACATCTTCCATGAGAGGTCGCCCTCCCCCCTCCCCAGAGGCTGCCGGACACCACCGACCCCCACCCCATTCTCTTCCTGTCCTCCGCCTTCTCCACAGCGTGTGTGGCCAGGGGGGCGGGTACGGACACCCTTCCTGGGGCAGCAGTGGGTAGGTGGGAGTCCCAGGGGGCCAGGGGGAAGGTTTGCAGGGTAAGGGATGGACAGATGTGGGACATCTGGTGGAAAGCGAGGAGGAGGAATGAGGGGTGAGCGTCCCCCTGAGCAGGGGAGAGTCCTCTAAGGACTATGACTGTCCCTCAGCCCCAAGGAGTCTGGCAGGAGCCCAAGTTTAGGGTGTAGGTGCTTTCCTGGCCGCTCAGCTGGGCTGCACCTGCCTCTGACCCAGATACCCCCCAGGCTGAACTCTGACCCTGGGTAAGGAACAGAAATGGGCCTCTCCCCCACAGAACACATGCCGACTCCAGGAGGGTAACTCACGGAGTTTTCCTTCCACAAAAGGATCGCTGTGACTGGGAGGCCTCAGGGATGGGGGCAGGGACAGCTGTTGGAGAAATCTCTGGCTCTAGCCCAGTGCAGGGCCCGGGGAGGGGTCATCTGCAGTGTCCTCCCGCCTCACCCGCCTCCGCTGCCCACCCCTGCCCAGTGGATTGTGGGAGGCCGGGGCCCCACCGGGGCGGCAGGCAGGGGCCTGGGCTGCCCTCTGACAGCCCTTCTCTGGGTGCCTGTCCCAGCCCAGGACAGGCACCCCCCCCCCCCCCGCCAGGTGTGCGGTGGAAGCCGCCTACCTGGTGGATGCCCCCCACCGCCCCACAGTCCCTGTGGCCCGCTTGTCCCGCTGTCATCGTTGGAAGCCCCCCATCTGCTCCTGTAGAGCTGTTGGTGTCTTGCTTCGGGGCCACTGGCAGCTCTGGGAAGACGCGGCCAGGGATGTTGAGTCGTGGCCAGGGCAAGGTGGCTCTGCAGCCCGGGGCCTGGGCCTGGGGCCCCTCCCTCCGCAACCCCCCTGTCCCCTGCGCGCATTGCAGCCAGGGTCCCAGGCCCCATGGGGGCAGGGTCGTGCCTCCGGCCTTTGAGGGTCACCTCGGCTGCGCTCCACCCCCCGCATCTTCCCCCCACGCTCGGGGGAAGGAGCCCCGGGATGGCCCCACCGGCTGCAGCGGAACCGGGCCGCGCCGGGAAACAGGCCAGGCAGCACTCGGCCACGGGGAGCCTGGGCCGCCGCCTGCCGCATGCCGCGCTGGGGGCGCCCCGGGCGGCGGAGGCGGATGTGGGCGGGGCGGCGCGGGGAGAGGGCGGGGGGACAGGGCGGGGAGAGGGCGGGCCGGCGGAGGCGCGAAAAGCGCGGCGGGAGGACGGCCCAGCGCAGCCAGCACAGCAGCGCAGCCGGGGACGCGAGCTCGGCCCGGAGGCGCCCGGTGAGTGCCCCGCACGCGCCCTGGGCCCGACTTCCTCCCGCGGGCGCTTTGTTGGCGGGGGCGGCCCGCGCGCGGCGGGGTCGGGGGAGCGGAGCAGGAAGTGGCCGAGCGCGGCCTGGGCGGGGAGGGCGCGGGCCGGGCGGGCGGCGGGGGTGCGCCGGGCCTCCGTCCTGACCTTGGAGGCGGCGGCCTCGGGGCGCGGGGTGCTCGCGGGGTGCTCGCGGGGTGCGCGCAGCCGCGGCAAGTTTGCGGGGTCCCCGCGGCAGAGCCCTCCGCTGCCCGGAGACAAAAAGTTGTACGTGATGGCGAGGTGCCCGGCGGCCCACAAAGGCCGCGCCCGCGGCTGGCCTGCAGCCTGCGCCTGAGCGGTGGCCTGGGGGTGCCGCCCACCCAGGCCCGGATGCGGGGGCGCGGACCCGACTGGTTCCTGCGCGCTGTCGGGGGGGCGGGGGCCGGGTGTGCCCCGAGCCCCGGTGCAAGGGGAGGGCGGGGGCGCCTGGCGAGCCTGGGTCCCCTGCCCTGCGCCAGCTGAACCCGCGGTCCCGGGCGGCGCCTGGAGGCAGAGGAAGGGGCCCTGGGAGCGCAGGCAGCGCCCCGTGAGCTGTCCCCTAAATAATAATGACGCTACCAGCCCTCAGGGTGGAGGCCCTGGGGTCCGGAAGCTGCGGGAAACAGGGGCTCCGTCCCTGCGGCCGTGCGCCCCGAGTGCGCCCCGAGGCTGCCCGCTGCGGGCCTGCCGCGTGCGTCTCCCTGCAGATGCACACCAGCCTGTGTGTGCGCACAGATATATTTTTACACGCGGGGCTCGACAGCTGTCTGACTCTGTCAGCCGCGGCCCCACGTAGGCCAGGGTGGGGGCGGGGGACATCCAGAGGTCTCCAAGGCCAGCTCTCTGCCTCCAGGCCACGCCCACTTGTGTCCCCAGAGGGGCCCCAGCCTGCCGTGGGGGCTCGGAGCCCTGTCCTTGGAGGTCTTGCTCGCGGCGCTCGGCCACCAGTGGCGTGCAGGGCACATTGGGCACTTTCTCCCTGGGCAAAGTGTGTTCCCTGGCCTGGCGATACACACAGCCAGTGGGGGCTTCTCGCTCTTCTAAATTTAGCCTAAGACTGCAGGTTCAGAGCAGCCTCCTCTGGGCCCCCACCCTGCCCCAGGAGGCCGGTAAGGTGCGTGGCCAGAGGGTGCCTAGACAGCTGTAGGAAGAGCCGTACTGGGCTCGCTGCAGAGGTCCCCGGACGTCCTGGGCCCGAGGTCCCCAAGACAAGTGGCCCCCGGGCTGCCCTCGGCAGTGCTCGCGTGGAGGGCTCGCGGAGGGCTCGCAGAGGACTGCGCCTGGGAAGAGTGCTCTTTCCCAGGATGCACAGAGTGGGTGAAGGTGTAAACTGGGTTTTGGGGGATGCCTAGGAGTTCATCCAGCAGGGAGCGACGGGGAGGGCCCCTCAGGTTCAATGGCCAAAGTGTCTGCTCCAGGGAAGGCTGCTGGTGGGCCAGGGCGGGTGCCAGGGCCTCTGCATTTGTCTAGAGCACCCCCCCATTTGTTGCCTCCTGAATGCTGTAATTATGGGTCTGTGACCAGCCTGGACTGGGTGCTTCTCAGACCGGACCATGTGAACCTCTCTTTGTCCCCGGGGCCGAGCCTGGCGAAACCAGAGATGCCTGGTCCATGCTGGCCGGATGAATGAACCAGATTCAGACCGGCAGGGTGCTGTGGTTTAGGAGGGGCTTGGGGTTTCTTGGGGGGAGGTATTTTATGTCCCCCCGAGGGCTCCGGGCTCTCATTTGCGCCAGCCGCCTGGTCTCCTGGCCCTACTTTGTTCTGTTTGAATTTCTCCTCTTTCCTAGTCTGCGGCGAGAAGGAGGAACCCCGGCCTGTGGGCAGGGAGCTCAGGGGCACTCACCAGGGCCCTGGAGAGGCCAAGCAGCGTAGACCAGAGCAGTCAGAGGGGCTGCCTGGAGGAGGTGGCAGGTTAGGGAGGCTGGGATATACCCGGAAGGCCTCTGGGGTGGGGAAGGGTCTGTGGCCAGGCAGGGGGAAGTGGGAATGTAGAAGAGCCAGCAGACCCTGGGGACCTGGGTGTCAGAGAGGGGTGGCAGGGGGATTGCAGCCTCGGCCTCAGGGAGCAGGGCTGGTAACCTGGACTCTGTCGGGGGCTGTGGTGGGAGCCATGGGGGGTGGCTGTGGCTCAGGGCTGCGAGGGGGCGGAAGGACCCAGCAGGGGACCCTGGGTGCGCAGGGCCTCCCGGCCTCACCGTGGGGCTGGAGGGGTGGACAAACCTCACACACTGCCCCTTGATTCTTCCAGAGGCTGGGTACGCTGGCTGGGCTCGGGGAGACCCTGCTGAGAGGGGCCAGCGAGGGGCGCTGGGGTGGCCCTGGCCCGATGGAGCGGGGCGCCATGAACGACGTGGCCATCGTGAAGGAGGGTTGGCTGCACAAGAGAGGTTAGTGCCCGCGGGGCTTGGGGCTGGGGCGGGGGTCCCGGGGCCGGCTCCCCTCGGGAGGCCGGGCTGGCGTAGTGGCCACCTGGCGGGGTCCCTAGGGCAGGAGAGCCACCGCCACCTCCCTGCCTGCTTTCCTGGGAGGCAGGGAGGACGCTGGGGCGCGTCCAAGGCCTGGCTCGCTGGCGGCCCGGGGCACTGCCCGAGGGCTCCTGAGGCCAGGGCCGAGGTGCTGCGCCTGGCCTGCTAACCGCCTCGGGCCTGGGCTGGGGGGGCTCCGCACCACCCTGGGGCCCAGCACGGGGCCTGCATGTGCTGGAGCAGCGAGCCGCCTGGCCCGCGCCCGCCGGGCCTGCCCTGTCCGCATCCACGGGGCCCCGGGCTCGCGGGCCTCTGTTGCTCCGGGATGGGTAGCGGCAGATGGACAGGCCTCCCGTCCAGGTGCCCCTGGCGAGTGACTGCCTCCTGGCCCAGAGCGGGAATTAGCTGCCCCCACCCCACTTCCTCTTCCTCCGGACCTGTTCCTGCCCAGGCTCTGGTGACCCCAGCTGGCTAATCAGCCACTCCTCGAGCGCGTCCTACAGCAGATGGCAGGAGGGTGCCCTGTCCCCACCGCAGGGTCCCACGGGCTGTGGGGAGGGGGATCCTCAGACATGGGGAGCAGCCAGGGGGCGTGGCAAAAGCAGGTGTCTGGGCTTTGGAGGGTGCACAGGGGCTCCCCAGCAGAGCGGGCAGGGAGCTGGCCGGGGAGCCGCAGGAGCAGCGGGGGGAGGCGCGGAGGGGCAGGGAGGAGGGGCTGGGGCTGCCGAGCATTCGAGGCGCGGGGTCAGGGATGTGGTCAGCTGTGTTTCTAGAGCTCGTGTGGCCGCTGCAGGGAGGCTGCTGCACGGGGACTGCAGACAGAGGCCGGGACGCTCAGGGCCCTGCGGTCCGGGGGAGCCCTTCCACCTAGCTTCCCCTAAGAACCCGGTCCCCCCGCTTCCGTCCTCCTCGGCGCCCCAGGACCCCTGGCCAGCCCTCCCCCTCACCTGCCCCGGGCCCGGCAGCAGCACGTGTCCACAGTCCCCTTCGTGGGACCGGTGCCTCTTCATCCTTGACAAGTGTTTGCTGCCCGACTGTTAGATGAAGGGCTGACCCAGGAGGTCCTGGGCCTCGGGGCTGCCCAGGGCCCCAGACCCAGGCATGGGGACGTCCCCTGCCAGCCGGGCTGGGGTAGGGGTGCCTTTCCGGTTGCTACTCAGGGCGTGTGCCTTCTGAAGGGGCTGTGGGGTGTTGGGCCAGGGGGCATCCGGAGAGCTGAGTTTGAATCTGATTTGGTTGCTTTGTGACTATCCCCTCTCCCCCCCCAGGGCAAATCTGTTGAGCTCTCAGTGCCTTGGTCTCCCCGTGTAAACGATAGGAACCGTGGCAGGGCACGGCCTGCTGACGTTTGTCACGCGGCTTGTGGGGGGCCTCCAGTCAGGGTGCAGCCAGCCTCAGCAGCCTCCAGGCCCCAGCCTCAGGCCAAGAGAGGGGGTCCCAGCTCCCTGTGGGGAGGCGGGTATCTATCCATGGGGAGTGACTTTGGGGCTGTTCCCAGGTGACCTGTTTGCCGCGTGCGGGGGCCGGAGCCCTTGTGGTGGGTAGCGGGGAGGCCGGCCTGGGTGGGGACGCCGGGGCTTGAGCCCTGCACTGACCCGTTCCGGGGGCCAGGCAAGCCCTCTGGGCCTCAGTGTCCCCGTGTGTCCAGTGGGGAGCGGGTCCCCGGGAGAGTGAGCCCAAGCTGCTGAAGGCTCGGGTGGCTGGGCAGCAGGCTGGGCCGACGGGGACCCCAGAGGTGGGTGGGCTTCCAGAGCAGAGGCGGCTGTTCTGACGCTCATTAGCCGAGTGATAAGCGCACACCTGAGCCCAGGCCTGGCTGCTGGAGGCTGGTGGGCTTGGTATTTTGCTCCAAAAATGTACATTTTCAAAGCTCCCTTATGTGCATTCTCCTGATTTCTAAAGGTTGACAATTAAAAACCCACGCGTGCTCCAGGGTGTAGGTCTAGCCAGCGGCCTGCGGCATCCAGTTTTGTCTTCTGACCACCCAGCGCGAAGGTCACGGCCTGCGTGTCTGCAGCTGCTCTGGGGCTCCCATGCCCCCCGGGCCTAGTCTCGGAACCCAGGACAGCGTGGGCACCGTCCGCCCAGCCAGCCAGCTTGTGGTTCTCCTGGGGGTCAGGCCAGCAGGACCCGGGGGACCAGGAGAGGGGAGGAAGGCAGTGAGGAGCTAGGTGGATGGAGGGGGGGTTCTGGGCCTGGGCGGGGAGCCCCGGGCACCCCTGTGCTGACCCTGGCCGGCCATCGGCCAGGAGGGACCCGCGGGGAGTGCGCTCGGCTGGCCTGCGGCCCCTGGTCTGGGAGCTGGGATTGACAGTGGGGGGGTGGGGGAGAGCTGCGCTGGGGGCGCGGGCACCGCTGCTCCCAGGACCTGTGTGGCCAGGGGTCAGCAGGCCTGGCCCTGGCCTGGCCCTGCCCTGCGGTGCCCCGAGCACTTTCCAGGTCCGGGCGCCCTGGTGGGGCCTGGGCTCCCCGGGCCGTGTTTCTCCCACCGCCCCTCCCTCAGCTGTGGCTGGTCCTGTTTCCTGCCGGGGCCCTGGCATTACCTGTGTGCCCCACGTGGCTCTGAGGTGGGGGGCAGTGGTGACGCCGTCCGTTACCCCGTCCCTGGTCCTGCAGGCCCAGTGTGGGTGCGGGGGACCGTGGAGGGTGCAGCCTGGTTCCCCTCGGAGGGGGTGTGAGCTTTGCCGAGCCACGCCAGGCCTGTTGAACACACTAGAGCACATCCCGCCCTGGAGTCAGCTGTCCTTTGTTGGAGGGGGTGTGGCTGGCCGCCCCCCTGGGGTGAGGGGCTCAGCAGGACACCGAAGGAAGGGGGGGATCTACTCCCCTGGCCCCGTGGCCTGGGCTGGAGGGCAGGGCTGCCCCTCCTGGGCTTCTCTGGCAAGGTGGCTGTGGCTTTGGTCCTGGCAGCTCCCGGTCTGTGAGGCAGCTGGAGCTGTGTGGGGTGGGGTGGGGGGCCCGGGGCTGCCCCCAGGGCAGCTTGGTGCAGGGGGGCCAGGCCTGGGGGCGGGAGCTGGGCTCCAGGGCCTGCTGGCCCTGGTGTGTGGCTGTGTCCATGGCCACCACCACTGGGGGCTGTTTCCTGTTTTGTGAACATGTTGGCTTCTCTGTGCATTACAAACAACAGAAGAGGAAGCTGGGGTGACTCGCTCGGGGGGGGGGTGAGGGGTCACCGCCCGCCGTCCCTGGGTGCCTGGGCCTGTGCTGTGGCGTGCTGTCTGAGCAGGGCTGCCCTGCGGGGGCCGGGCTCCGTGCAGGGGGTGGGGGAGTCTCAAGCAGGGGCGGGGCAGGGGCCTGGGCGCTGGTGGGCCGTGCTCCGTGCAGCGGGCCCTGGGCAGCACCGCGCACTTGATGCAGGAGGGGCGCAAGGCCCGGGCTGGGGGGCGGGGGGGATGCGGGGGGGGGCGGCACCGAGCGCCGCGCCCAGACCCCCACCTGCCGCCAGCTCTCGGGAGAGGCGAGCCGGGGCTGCAGCAGCCCGAGTTCCTAGAAGTGCTGAGGAGCGCTGTGGGGGGGGCCCTGGCTCGGCCGCCCCTGGTGTCCCTCCTGCCCAGGCACACCCGGCCGGGCTCCGGGCCAGGGCCCCCCCCGAGGGCCCCCCCGTAACCGGAGCCCATGGCGGTGGCTCTGCGCCCGCTCCCCACAGCGGCCTGGTGCCCGCCGCTCCTGTCGCTCGGCACGGGCGGCCCCGGCCCGGGGCTCCTTTGCTCGGCTGGCCCAGGTCCCTGGGTCCCAGGCCGCGGTGGGGGGCGGCGAGTCCCAGGCCAGCTCCCGGAGCTGCGCATCCCCTGCGGCCGTGCCCGCGTTTGCTCCCGCCGTCAGGTGTCGTCCCCAGCCTTCAGGAGTCGGCCTGCGTTTCGGGGCGTTAACTTGATGCCCTGTAGGGGAGGGGTTCCTCCGTGCTGCTTCTGCCAACCCCGGGGGCTTGAGGTGGCGTCTCCAGACTCTGGATGTGGTTCCCAGATCCCCAGGGGGGCCCCATGACCGCAGCCCCCGTCCCCAGGCCTGTGGCCCAAGAGGCCGGCGTACATGGGGGAAGCTGGTGGACACATAGCCTGGCGGCTGCCCACTCCCCTCCCAGCCCCCAGGATCTCGTTGAGGCAAAGGTGTGGCTGCGGCTGCCCCCGAACCCCCCACCCAACCCAGCCTCACCGAGCCCATCTGCGGTGGGGCCAGGTGCACGTCTGTTGGAGCCAGTGGCTGGCTCGTTGGGGGACACTGGGAGGGGGCGGGGGCGGGGGCGCGCAGGGAGATAAACAAGGGCCTAGCAGCTGGCCGCAGGGCACTGGGGCTGTGGCCTCTCCGAGGGGGCACCGAATGAGCCGTGAATTGGGTGAGGGTCTGCGGGCCGCGGGGGCAGGACACCAGCAGTGAGCCCGTGGTGTGGGCGGGGGCCCCCGGACCAGGGCGCAGGCCCGGGGACCACGCCTCGTGGCCATGTCCCAGGGGCTGGGACTCAGGGCGGCCCCTCCTCTGGCCGGCCTGCCGATGGTAGGTGGTGCCCACGGAGGAGGTGGGTGCGCGGGGAACACGGTGGCTGGAGGGGCATCTCGGCTGGGGTGATGGGCGGGTGGCCGCGCCCAGGAGTGGGTTTGGACGACGCGGAGGTTGGTGGGGGGCACCGTCCTGGGCAGGAGGGAGTGCCCGGTGGCCCCCAGTGCCTTCCCGTGTTCCTGAGGCTGCCTGTGTCTACCGGGCCGTGACTCGGGGGCCTGCCTGCGTGGGGGCAGAGCCGAAGCCCCGTGAGCAGCTCAGCCTGGCCCGCAGGACCGGGTCTCTGCTCAGCATCCGTGACCGTGAGAGTCCTCAGTTTCCCCAGGGAGCCAGGGGCATGAGGAGCCCCCCCGCCAGGCGGGCCTTCCGGGAGGGCAGCGTATGCCCTCCTCCAGCGGCCGCTCGTGCCCTGCCGGGGGCCGACCCCACAAACGCTGCCCTCGGGACGGCTCAGGGTCACGGGGCGGGTTGGCTTGATTCGCCGCACCAGGCCCGGGGCCGCGTGAGTGGGGGTGTGTCGGCTGCTGCACTGGCAGAGGCCTGGCAGGCCGGGCCCCCCGAGATGACCCGTGCCCGCCCCTTCCTGGAGGGCGGCGATGGATGGGCTGCCGTCAGCGGGGCCGTTTGCTCACTGTGCTGGAGAAGGTAAATGGGCGCCCGGCAGCTGTCGGCCCGCGATGGATGTGTTGGCGGCAGGGGACCGCACGGTCGCCGCTGTCAGCTGGCGCCCGCTCCCCGGGCCTGCTGGGGCTTGCTTTGCTGTGGAGAAACAGCTCGGCACCGCCTGGCACCCCGCCAGCCGCCGCCTGCCACCGCCACCGCTGCTGCAGCAAAGTGACTATCTAGCACTTTCGCCAAAAACTGGGGACTGGGAGGGAACGTTCGCGGGTCTCGGGGTGCTGTGGCTGAGTGGACCGTGGCCCGGGGCTGACGGGCCGGGTCACGGCGTGGAGGACTCTCGGGCATCAGGCCTGGGCTGAGCGTGCGGCGCGACCCCCGACTGCCCTGCGCGTGGGTGCCAGCCCTCGGTGTGCTGCCGCCCGGGCTGCCCTGGCCGTAGTGTGGCTCGGGACCCGTGCCCGGGGCGCCCGGAGGGCGCAGGCCCGCAGCCCCTGCCCGTGCTGTCCCCAAGCCCTGGCTGTGCGGCCCTGTCAGTGTGACTTGGGCTGTAGGAGGCCACGGCTGCCTACGAGGAAGCCCGTCCCTCTCCCTGGGGACGAGCTGGCTCCAAGATGAGCAGTGTCCGAAGGGCCCCTGTAGTGGAGGATGCGCGGGGCACGTGCCGGGAGCTGTGGGGCCCTGAGGGGGGAAGGAGGACGTGGGGAGCCCTGGTCCGCGTGCGGGCCTGCGTGTGCCCCACTCCACGCCGCCAGGGCAGCTGGAGCCCTTACTGCGGATGGACGGGCGTTGGGATGAAGCTTGGGCGCCGAGTCCCCTCTGCTGGCCGGGCAGGCCGTGGCCTCCGAGGGCGGGTGTGGGGCTGCAGGGTCGAGGGCCGAGTCCGGGTGGGGAGCCAGACGCCGCGCGCCCTGCCTGCCCGCCGGAGGCCAGGGGCAGACCGTCTGGGCAGGGGCGCCTCGCCCGTGGCGGGGGTGCAGGGTGAGCCGTGCTGAGCGCCCCTGAGGCTGGTCCCGGGGCTGTGCTGAACCCTGTGTGGGGTGGACGCGGTGGACGCGGTGGACGGAGAGCCCTCGGGGGTCGTGGCCTGGCTGCGGGCAGGCGTCTCCCCGAGGCAGTGGCGGGGGCCCCCGTCGGGAGCAGCGCCCTGACGGCACTCGGGCGTCCGTGGTCGTCAGCTGCCACAGTGAAGGCTGGTGTGTGTGTCCCCTCCCCGACCCCACGGCCCCAGCCCCCGAGGACAGCGGTGGGCAGGCACAGGGCAGCTGCGTCCCCTACTCCCTCCGTCCTTGTCAGCCCAGCGCTGGGGGGAGGGCTCCGGGGCCCCCGACGTGTGGCTGAATGCATTCCCACGCAGCCCCAGCCCGGGGCGCATCTGGCACCGCCTCGGCCCCCTGCCCGGCAGAAGGGGGTCTGCGAGTCTCGGAGCCTTGGCTCCAGCCTCCCTGGGGTCGCTGCTCCTCCTCAGGGGGCTCAGCTGTGTGGGGCACAGCGGGGGGACAGCTGGGGGCCGACTGTGGCCGCCCTTGATGCCCTGAGTCTGGGGCTGGTGGAGGGCTCAGCCTCGTCCCTGCCAGCGTTGCTCCCGGCAACCCCTACTCCAGTTCTGGGTTCCAGAACCTTCCTGGCCCTGGAGTGGGGTGGGTTGAAGGCTGCTGGAGTGCTGCAGGTGCACAGCCAAGTGGCCGGGTGAGTCCTGGGTACTGCAGCACCGGCACCCCCGTTCCAGGGATCCTGGACCCCATGGGGAAACTGAGGCCCCGGCCAGCGTGTGGGTGCGGCTGAGCAGGCGCACTTGTGCCGGCTGCACGCACGGGGCACGGTGCTGGGCGCGGTGGGGGCCGGCGGCAGTTGATGAATCAAGATGGATTTTCGGGGCAGCGCGGGCGAGGCGCTCATCGCTCCCCCGCTCAGCCAGCGTCCCGGGGAGCGGCAGCTGGCGGGATGGGAGGCACTCCATCAGGGGCCGACAGCGCCAGGCTGGCGCGCAGGGGGTGGGAGCGCGCGCCCGGGCCGCGCGGGTGGTGGGCTGCACACGGCCCGGAGCCTCCTCGCTCGGGCCCACCCGCTGCACCGGCGGGGAAGGGGTGTGGGGGAGCCAGGCGGCGGCCGGGTCCCGGGCCCCCGAGACCCCCCCAGCCTTCCCAGCTGACCGTCTTCGCAGGCTTGGGGGCTCAGCGGGTCGCTGCCCTCAGTCGGGTCCCTCTTTGCCAGCCGTGTAGGGCTGGGGTGACCTCCCGGCCCCCACCAGGTGTCGTGGAGCCAGGGCTGGGTCTCAGAGGCCACTGGGTTGGTGGAGGCGCTGGGCAGTGAGGTGGGGAGCCCCCCCCCACCCCCGGTGCCTGGCCCTGAGCAGGCCTGTGCTGGCGCCCCTGCCGCGGGGCCCTGCGGGGACGGAGGGCCTGGCCCAGAGCGTGGGGACCCGGCCTCCCCTCACCTGCTGCCCAGTGGCCCCTGCGATAAAGCAGTTGTCTAATTAGTAAGTTCTCCGTCGCTGTGCAAACTCTTTGCTTAGCAAAATGGAAATGAAACATTTTTTTTCCGGGTGTCAGTATGAAAAATGACAGTCGCTCCAACATCGCTGAGGACATCTGCTCTGGTTCTTAAGTGTGAATGCCTGTTTATGGCTGATGTGGCGAAACTTGGGGAACACTTCCCCGTGTACCTGGGTACCCCATCCGTGGGCGTGGGGGTCAAGGGTGGCAGGTCGCAGCCCGGGGAACGCACGGACACCTGGGCCTGGCTTCGCTGTGATGCCCGCGCTTGCACGGTGGGGTGGGGGGGAGGCAAGAGTCCCAGTGCCCGGCCCCGGGGCAGGGGGCTGCTGCAGACGGCGCCCTGGGTCCCACTCGCTGTCCCCTCCATGCCACACGCCGGGCTCCATCCTGCAGACCAGGGCCGCTGTCCCTACAGTAATTGGCGGCCGCCACCTGGCCGGACCCAGGTGGGTGGGGGGCGCCCTTAGCCCTGCCACGCTGGCACCCCCGTCCGCCCTGCTGAGAGCGAGGGCAGTGTCCTCGGGTTAGCGTGTCCTGGGTGCGTGCGCTAGGAGCGGGGTTTCCGTGGGCAGACGGGGCAGGGTCCGGCGGCCGTGGCCCCTCACCGCGCCGTGTCCTCAGGGGAGTACATCAAAACCTGGCGGCCCCGGTACTTCCTCCTCAAGAACGACGGCACGTTCATCGGCTACAAGGAGCGGCCCCAGGATGTGGAGCAGCGAGAGTCCCCCCTCAACAACTTCTCCATGGCACGTAAGTGCGTGCGGCCTCCCCGGGCCACGGCTGGGCACCGCTGGGCGCGGGCCACCCTGACTGGACAGGAGGACAGGGCGGCAGGGCTGGCTTTGAGTCCCCGTGGGAACTAGCGTGCGGCTGGTTCTGGCTGCCGGGAGCTCCGAGGCTGGCCACCCCGGACCTGTCCCAGGGCCCGCTTGCTCTGGCGTCCGAGGGCCTGGCCGAGGGGCACAGCCTGGGGACAGCCAGCGTGCTGGATGCCACCTGGAGCTCACCGGGGTCTGTCCACAACGGTCCTGGGTGTGGAGGCAGGATGAGAGTGCGAGAGGGGCACTCGGCTTCCGGGAGCCTCTGTCCCCCCTAGGAGGAGCCCCCAGAGGCCTCGGCCCTGTGGTGGTTTGTGGGGGGCAGTGCCACGCAAGGGGCCTGGGGCAGCCTGCAAAGCTGGAAAGCCTGGTGCTTTCTCTAAGCTTCGTGTTCCGGTGGCCTTACTCTGTACCTGCAAGGGGTGGGGACAGCTGGTGCAACCCCACCTGTGGGGCTCGGGTAACCTGGGCATGGAGCTGGGCCGCCCAGGGCTGACCCGGGACACGGCCCGGGGCGGTGGGGGGGAAGGATGAGTGATGGGCTCCTGAACTGATAGACCTCCTGGGCCCCTCTTGGGATGCCATCCAAGGTACAAGGTGCCCGCTGTGGGGGTCCTGCCTCCACCCTAGGCTCCTTTATACATCTCCACGCTCCGGGTCCCTCTGCCTTCCCTGACATTCAGCCTGGGAGCCTGGGGTCCTGTAGCTACCCCACGTCTGGCCCAGGTTCTGGTCCAGAGTCTCGGGGAGGTAGCAGGGGTGATGGGGAGGGACTCACGGCTTCCGTGCGGGCGGCAGGGACATAGAGCTGGGCGGTCCTGGACCTTGGCTGTCCTGCCCACCCTCTCAGTGTAGCCGGCGCTGTGCTGTAGGGGCAAGGGGCATGGCCAGCGTACCCCCCCCCGAGGGCTTCTGTCCGGCGGGGAGCATAGCCCCTGCCCTGTAAGTCTCCCACCTGGGGGTCTCCCAGGGGACCTTTACCATGACCTGGGTCCACTGAGTCCTGACCCCATCCGCATCTTCAGGCTTCCTTGGAGCAGCCATTGAGTAGGGGCTCCAGGGTGACAGGAGACCAAGGAGGTAGGCACCCCTGTCCCTGCAGCCTGGTGGCTGGCTGGGCTCCACCCAGTGCCTCCTTGACTGGGGTGCGTGGCACATTGCTGGCAGGGCTGTGGGGACCCTGGGGAATGTTCCCTGCGGGCAGAGTGCAGGGGGGATGGGGGCGACTCTGCAGAGGCTCTCGGGAGGTAGGTGTCATCCAGATGGGCTGGGGCCCTGAAGCCGGCGACGTGGCTCGGTGGGGGCCTCTATGACTAGGGGCTTCTTGGGGATGGATTCCAGGGGTGGGGGCACAGGAAGCCAGGGTGGGATGGACACCAGGCGCCTAGGTCCTGGGAAAAGCTGGTGGTCTCTGATGAGCGAGTGGGAGGTAGGTGTGTGGGACGGAGAACACAGGCCACAAGGCTTTCTGTCCCCCATCCCCATGTTGACATAGGCCAGGCCCAGCCCCGGTAGACCACTCCTTACCTCTGCCGAGCCCAGCCAGGGCCCCCTGAGGTTGCTAGGGCCCTCACACACACGGGGCCAGCGTCGCCCTAGAATTTCTCAGCGGTACCCCAGACTGGCTCACACCCCTCTTGGGGCCTCGTGCATCCCCACAGCCCCTGTACTGCTGGTGTGCATGCATTACTGGTGTGTGTGCGTGCTCCAGCTGTGTGCCTGCTCCAGGTGTGTGTGTGCTCCCGCTGTGTGCCTGCTCCAGGTGTGTGTGTGCTCCAGCTGTGTGGCTGCACCAGGTGTGTGCGTGCCCCAGCTGTGTGCCTGCTCCAGGTGTGTGTGTGCTCCAGCTGTGTGGCTGCACCAGGTGTGTGCGTGCCCCAGCTGTGTGCCTGCTCCAGGTGTGTGTGTGCTCCAGCTATGTGGCTGCACCAGGTGTGTGCATGCTCCAGCTGTGTGGCTGCACCAGGTGTGTGCATGCTCCAGCTGTGTGGCTGCACCAGGTGTGTGCGTGCTCCAGCTGTGTACCTGCTCCAGGCTTGTGCATTCTCCTGGTGTGTTTGTGCTCTTGCTGTGTGTCTGGTCCAGCTGTGTGCCTGCTCCAGGTGTGTGCACTCCTGGTGTGTGCGTGCTCCAGCCATGAGCGTGCTCCTGGTGTGTATGCATTCCAACTGTGTGTGAGCTTCTAGTGTGTGGGAACTCCTAGTGTGCGTGTGTTCCAGGTGTGCCCAAGTTTCAGCTGTGTATGAGCTCCCAGTGTGCATACATTCCAGCTGTGTGTCTGCTCCAGGCGTGGGCATGTTCCCGTTGTGTGCGAGCCCCCGGTGTGCATGCATCCCAGCTGTGTGCCTGCTCCAATTGTGTGCCTGTTCTGGCCATGAGCATGCTTCTGAGCTCCTTAGTGTGCGTGTGTTTCAGCTGTGTATGAGCTCCCAGTGTGCACAGATTCCAGGTGTGTGCATGCTCCAGGTGTGTGCGTGCTCTGGATATGTGTCTCCGTGTTCCTGCCATGCGCCTGGAATCCCCAGCCTCGGGTGGTGTTGGGGGAATGCCATTGTGTGGGGTGGGTACAGCCTGAGCAGCCTCCAGGGAGGGTCATGTCCTCCAGCTGCCTGCCCAGGACAGGCGGCATCTCTGAAGGGTGAGTCCCCACCGGCCTTTGCTCTGGGACTGGCCCTGCTAGAGGTGGGGGCTGGGAGTCATGGCTGGGGAAATGGCAGGGGGTTCCTGCTCGGGGGCCAGCTGCTTTCCCTCCTCTATCCCACCCCCGGGGCATCCCTCCTCCTCTCCCTCTTGCCAGTTGAGCTGCCTGGCATGCAGCTCGGGCTCAGAGACCCGGGGAGAGGATGGCATGGGGCTGAGGTGACCCGACCTCAGCCAGCCCTGCGGGGGCACCTCACTGCCTGCAAGCAGAGTTTCAGGGCTGGAATAGGGGTCCCACCCCTGGTTTTACAAGCAGGGGAGCCAAGGCGTGGAATGGGAATGGGATAGGGCTTTGCATGACCTGGTGGTGGGGTCCTGGGGGCGGGGGCAGGTGGGCCCTGTGTCGGGGAGTGCAGACTCACCTGCCAGCCCTGCCCCCAGAATGTCAGCTGATGAAGACTGAGTGGCCCAGGCCCAACACCTTCATCATCCGTTGCCTGCAGTGGACCACGGTCATTGAGCGCACCTTCCACGTGGACACACCCGAGGAGCGGTATGAGATGGATGCACAGGGCGGCTGGGTGCCAGGGCCTCTGCTTCCTGGTGGGGAGGGCACATGCCTTGTGGGGAACCAGGCCTCGCTGCCCCCCGTGTCCAGGCCGGGGTCATGGGGCCTCACGTGCCGGCCCTGCAGGGAGGAGTGGATGACTGCCATCCAGACAGTGGCCGACGGGCTCAAGAGGCAGGAGGAAAAGATGATGGACTTCCGGTCGGGCTCGCGCAGTGACAACTCGGGGGCTGAGGAGTTGGAGGTGTCCCTGGCCAAGCCCAAGCACCGTGTGGTGAGGCGCTTCCCCAGCTTGGAGGGGCCTGGCTGCCCCATTGTGGCCAGCGGGAGCCCTGTGGGAGGAGTAGGGCTGGGATGCGGGATGCGGGGGGGCCCGGGCCCCCCTGACCCCAGGTGCCTGCCCGGTGACCCACAGACCATGAATGACTTTGAGTACCTGAAGCTGCTGGGGAAGGGCACGTTTGCGAAGGTGCTCCTGGTCAAGGAGAAGGCCACAGGCCACTACTACGCCATGAAGATCCTGAACAAGGAGGTCATTGTGGCCAAGGTGGGGCACGGGGCCGGGGCCTGGCCGGGGTGTGGGGGCGGGCAGGGGCAGGCGGGGGCTCACCGGGCTCTGTCTTCCAGAACGAGGTTGCCCACACGCTCACGGAGAACCGTGTTCTCCAGAATTCTCGGCATCCCTTCCTGACGGTGAGTCCTGGAGGCGCCGGGCTGCCTGCGGGGGTGAGGCTCTGGGCCGGGGGCTCCTTGCCACCAGCCTGTCCACGGAAGCCCCACGTGCCTGGCCGAGGGTGGGCACACCGGCAAGGTTGCCGGGAGGCGGGGGTGGTTTGTGCCCCTGTGCACGGAATGGGGTCTTCCTCCCCCCACTCTGCCCGAGGCCCTGGGAGGCCCCCAAGCCCCCGTGCCTGCCCTGCACGCCCCCTTCCTGCTGCTCCCCCCTTGAGGCTGGAGCCAGGAGGGTCTCATCCTCATCCAGGGGGCCCTCGGCCCAGGAGGAGTGTCCGGAAAGCCGTTAGCCTTAGCGCCATCCCGGGCTCGGCCAGCTCCTGGAAGGTGTGGGTGGGCCCGCGCTCACCTGCAGGGTCTGGCCAGGCGCTGCCCCCACCCGGGCTCTCCCTGGGACCTCCCCCCCCCCAGGCCGCGTCACCTACTCAGGGTGTCCTCAGCCCAGGGGACCGCCTGATCCAAAGCAGGAGCAAAGTAGGGAAGGGGCTGTACTTCTCTAAAGTTTCTGTTCCTTAAAACGTTTTCTTAGGAGAAGTGACCGACATTTTTAAAAGAAGGTCTCATTTTTTTGCCCGGACTCGTTCTTCTTACTGGCTTTGCCTCAGATTTGTGTCACCTTGCTCCTGCTGCTCGTGTCCAGGCTCTGTGTCCTTCCCTCCCCCTCAGCGCACCCCCACGACCACAGCACTCTGCCGCGCTCGACAGGGCCTCCAGGGTCCGTGCACGCTGGACCCCGCCCCCCTGCCCTGGCGGTGGCACCCCCTCCTGCAGGTTCTCCGAGGGGACAGGGCTCACGGGGCACAGCTTATTACCGCTGCCTGAGTCTGTGGCCGGTAGAAACCAGCCTGTCCTGTGTTTTCCGTGGATGGGGCTCCTCCCTGGAGGCTGGGCTAGACCACAAGGCAGTCACTTGTGGGGACAACTTGGTCCCTGGATGGCCAGGCAGCCAGGAAGCTCTGCCCCAGGCGTGTCCTCCCCTTGCTGACCATACCCCGTCCCGGGCTGGGCCCCGAGCCCGGGGGAAGCCTCCACGCGGTCACCAGGATCGCCAGCTTCCGGGACCCTACCTGCCTGAGACTCAAGACCGGCTCGTGGGCGTCGGGCGTCCTGCGGGGCCCGGGGGCCGCGTACCAGCTCTGCTTCCCCCGCAGGCCCTGAAGTACTCCTTCCAGACCCACGACCGCCTCTGCTTCGTCATGGAGTACGCCAACGGGGGCGAGGTAGGGTGGCCGCGGCATGCGTGGGGCTGGCCCTGAGCCCTGGGGTCCCCGCCCGGGAGGCAGGGTCTCGCCCGCAGCCCGCACACCCTCACGCCCTCGTCCCGCAGCTCTTCTTCCACCTGTCCCGGGAGCGGGTGTTCCCCGAGGACCGGGCACGCTTCTACGGGGCCGAGATCCTGTCGGCCCTGGACTACCTGCACTCGGAGAAGAACGTGGTCTACCGCGACCTCAAGGTGGGCGGTGGGAGCGGCCTAGGGGGTGCGCTGCAGGGGGTGGGGCTGGCACTGACCCGCCCCCCCCACAGCTGGAGAACCTCATGCTGGACAAGGACGGGCACATCAAGATCACGGACTTCGGGCTGTGCAAGGAAGGCATCAAGGACGAAGCCACCATGAAGACCTTCTGCGGGACGCCCGAGTACCTGGCCCCGGAGGTGTGCACCTGCGGCGTCCCCAGGGGCCCTGGGCCCCCGCATCCCCCGGGCGGCCTGTGACCCACGCCCCTGCATCCCCAGGTGCTGGAGGACAATGACTATGGCCGGGCGGTGGACTGGTGGGGGCTGGGCGTGGTCATGTACGAGATGCTGTGCGGCCGCCTGCCCTTCTACAACCAGGACCACGAGAAGCTCTTCAAGCTCATCCTCACGGAGGAGCTGCACCTCCCGCACACGCTCAGCCCCGAGGCCAAGTCCCTGCTCTCAGGGCTGCTCAAAAAGGACCCCAAGCAGAGGTGAGCCCTCGGCCCTGAGCCAGCAGGGGCTGATGGGCCACCCCACCCCCGTGCCCCCCAGGGACAGCGGGCCAGCCTCCGGGCCATGCTGGTGGGTGATGTGTGACGTCCTCGGCCAGGGCCGGTGGGGACCTTGCAGCCTCTCACACCTGCTCAGGAAGACCCTGCCCTGCCTCCCCGATGTCCTCCTCGTGCAGGAGCCTGGCCCATGGCCTGGTGTTGTCCACAGCCCCCAGGGAGGCAATGCCATCCCCCGCCCCAGGACCATCAGCCTCAAACCGGCTCCCCTCTCCCGTGCCCCCCAGCCCCAGGCTGTGCCCCCTGCACCGTCCTCCCTGCTGCCCCGAGACCCCAGCAGGAGGAGGGCCCGGTGAGGGGCCTGAGCCCTGAGCCAGGCAGTGGCAGCACCTGACGTGTCCCTCCGCAGGCTCGGAGGGGGCTCAGAGGACGCCAAGGAGATCATGCAGCACCGCTTCTTCGCTAGCATCGTGTGGCAGGACGTGTATGAGAAGAAGGTGTGTGCGGTGGCCTGGCGCATCTCCCCCCTTCTCCCCCCTTCTCCAGGCTTACAGGGTCTGCACGGCGGGATTTCCTCCCAAGCCCTGCACAGGGTCCTCCCGCAGGGTCCTCCCTGGGTCCAACCCCCAGAGGGAGTGTGGGGGCGTGGACTCCCCGAACCCGGCGCCCTGTCAGCTTTGGGCCTCAGGCTTCCTCGTCCCTGAGGCTGCCCGTGGAAGGCTGGCAGTGGAGCCCCCAGGGGCCCTAACCCTGCCCTCCCACTCTCTCCACTTGTCCACAGTCCGTCCTGCCGCTCTGAGCACATGCGATCGGAGCACAGCACCTGCTTGCCTAGCGCATGCAGGAGGCCTCCCAGGAGCGAGGCAGCTGCTGCTTGCCCCCATCCCTCTGTCCTTCGCCCTCTGAGCGACTTGGGGGGCGCAGTGGCCCAGCAGGTCAGGAAGGCTGTACCAGGGCGTGCTGCACACCTGTCACCAAATAGACTCCTACCTGGTTTCCATCCTCCCCTCCCCTGCAGGCCGCACACACGGGCTGGGCCTCCGCCCTGTCTACAAGACAGGGCACCCCTACCCTGCTCAGCTCCCAGCCACTTCCCTGCCCTGAGGTCTGCCACCACCGGGCCCTGCCCTCCGACAGCCCAGCTGCTGCCCTACCTTGACTCCTGCTAGCTCACGAGGGGCAGCCCTGGAGTACTGCAGGGCAGTACTTGCTTGGGGGGCCCTCCCACGGGAACGGGCACGTCCCCTACAGTTCCCCCCACAACCTCCGCGGCCTGACTCAGCCAGCTGAGCTGTTGTCCTGGAGCCACCAATGAGGCCAGCCAGGCCGTGCACTCAGGATGCCCCTTCCCTGTTGTGCCAGGTGAGGTCCCGGAGGGCTCCTGCAGAGGAAGGCCTGGCCTCCTCTCCTGGTGGGAGTTTGGGCAGGGAGGGCCCTGGGAGCCCTGTGGGGATCTGGGGCATGTCACGTGCACCTCATACCCCAGCACTGGCTGCTTCTTGGGTCCCCCCCGAGCCACTGCACGGGAATACTACTCACTGGCCCTGGTGGGGGGTCAGGGGGCCGTGGGGATGGGCCTGGCCCTCTATCATGAATGATCAGAGTGGAAGCCCCTGGCAGCTGGGCCAGTGGCTCTCTGGTCAGGAAGGGGTGTGCACGGCACCCGAGGATGGGGCTGGGACCCCATCCTGGCCTGTGGAGTCCCTCTTCGTCTCCTTCCTACCTCGTCAGAGAACCAGAAAGTCATGAAAGCTAGAAAAGAGAATGGACTTGTGGCCTTCTGCGCGGGGGCCTGGGCCTGCAGAGCCGGCCAGCTGCAGGGCCAGCTGTGGGGCACCCGGGAGCCCGGCCCGGTGGACCCCTAGTGGCGGGGCCATGTGTGCAGGGCCCGGGCCACCCCCTCTGTGCGTCTCCCTGCCAGAGCCCCATTCCCGGGGGTTCCTGGAGGGGGAGAGCTCAGGCCCCAGGGGCAGGGCAGAGTTCAGCCCCTAACCTGCCGCCCCTAACCCCCCCCACAGCTCAGTCCTCCCTTCAAGCCTGAGGTCACGTCGGAGACAGACACCAGGTATTTTGAGGAGGAGTTCACGGCCCAGATGATCACGATCACGCTGCCCGACCAAGGTGAGGAGGGAAGCCCGCCCAGCTCCCCCGCGGGAGGGCCTGCGGGACCGGCCTTCGGGCCGCCTCCCGCCCCGCGCTCCCGGGGGCTCCCGGGGTCTGAGCGCGCCTCCGGCCCACCCGGCTGCAGGTGACAACATCGAGGGCGAGGACAGCGAGCGGAGGCCCCACTTCCCGCAGTTCTCCTACTCGGTCAGCGGCTCGGCGTGACGAAGGAAGGCCGGGTGGCCGCGCCGCGCCGCCCACCGCGCCGGCCCCGGGTCGGGGAGGAAGCCTGGCAGGACCGTTAGGATTTCGTGTTTACTTCTGGATGCACTGGGAGGAGCTGCGCCGCCCTCCGGGAGGAAGGGGTCCTGCGCGCTTCTCGAATTTATTTCATCCGGGTCTCCAGACACGGCCTTGGCCTTCAGAATGATTAGCCTCACATAGGAAAAGGCTGAGGACCTCGCGCAGCCACGCGCCTGCGGCCCCCCGTCCCTCCCGCCGGCTGTCCTGGCCCAGCCTGGCCGTGGCAGGCTGGCCTGGTTCCCTCCCGGGGCAGGCCAGGCCGGGCTCGCCCGATAGGCAGAGGAACGACGTTGCAATCCCTTGCTGTGTATTATGCTATTCACGTGCATCTTGGGGTTTTGTTAATCTTAGTGACAAGAAAGCCCCTCCCTCCCCCCCTTTTGTCCCTTTGGGGCCATCCCACTTCGGTGGTGTCCCAGATATCACGTGTCCTCCGGAGCAGCTTCACTGGCCCGCTGTGGGCCCAGTGCCCTTTGGAGGGGCCTTCGGAGCACCCTCCGCGCCTCGCGGCCTGATGTTGTGCTGCACGGGGGTGCTTTTTACATTCAACTTTACTATTTTTACTATTATGAGACTTTCCCTCCGAATTCTTCAATAAACACTGCTTTTCAACTTTGTGGCTGGTTTTGGCGGGTGGCGGGTAAAGAGTGAGGCGGCCGGTGCATCGGGGGCACCCGCAGATCAGCCTACCCCTCTGAGGGTAGACGGCCCTCTGTGGCAGGGCTCAACGCAGCGGGGACATGCCCCGGCAGTCCACACGCCCAGCCGTGTCACCCCCGTACAGTCCAGGAGGCCTGGGGGAGGCCACGCAGCAGGTCTGGGACTGCCGGGTAGAGGGGTGCAGGTGGCCCAGATGGGGCCCAGGAACCCAGTGGGACGCACTGCAGGCGCCACCTGGTGGATGCCCGGTGGTCGCTTGCTCAGAGCAGAGCCAACCGTCCCCCAAGTGCCTGGGAGCCTTGGCTTCCTCACCTGGGGACTCCCCCCTGCAGGTGTGGCCAGGACGCCCGGATGTTTATAGCTCCTAGTGCATAGGCCTGGAGGTGGGGATGAGGGCCCCTCCCTCTCTGGACTCCAAGGTGATCCCAGGTGGGGTGGCTGCCCCTCCTGCTGGAGGGAGCGCTGGATGGGGGGCACATCTGGTGTAGCTCCCAGTCGCAGGAGTACACAGCTTTTTTAGAACCACAAACACACACAAACGTTACATAGTATAGGGAGCTTTAGAGGCAAGATAAACGGGCATCCCGTCAGAACCCCGCGCACCGTCGCTGCGATGTGAAGTGGTGCGGCTGCTGGGAGCTAGCTACGGCAGTTCCTCAAGACATTAGACACAACTAAGATCGTTGCATTTTAGGTACACGTAACACCGTGAAGAGGAAAGGCAAAAGTCCATTATAGGAAATAAGAGGAAATCCAGTGCCATTGGCCTCAAGCTTGGAGCAGTGACTGCAAGTGGCGGGTGTGGGGGGATGAGGGAGGTGCCTGGAGCCGCTGCCAGGCGGCTCACCTCTTCCCACAGGTGATGCAGGGTGCCATTGGTCCCAGGACAGGTGTCAAGGTCGAGGGCATGGACATGGCACCCCATGGGGGGGTTGCTGAGGAACGAGTGAAAGCCCTGAACTTGTGGGTGGGAGCAGTAGGGGGTGCAAGGAGATGGGCACCTCAGGGAACTCCCAGGGGCCCAGATTGTCCCAGCAGGCAAGGCCTGTGCAGGCGGCAGGCGGGTGGGGGGCTCTGGTGGGGGCAGTGAGGCCGCACCACCTCTCCTGGCCCACCCCCACCTGCCTTGCCGGCCCAGGGCAGCCTCAGGAGGGACGTGGGTGGGGGGTGGGTGGGAAGCAGTGCTCAGCCCCTGGGCTGCCCCTCACCCACTGCCGCCGGCATGTGAGAGCTGCCGCGGGCATGCCCTGCAGAGCTGGGGGCGTCGGGCTGGGCCTGCTCTCCGGGAGCGGCCAGCCCGGGGATGCGTGCGCACAGACGGAGCTGATCAGCCCTCAGGTTTGTCTGCATACGTCATCCTTGAGCAAGGCGCTGGGTCTGCTGCTCGCACTGCAGGCGGCTGAGGTGGGACGGAGCCTAAGAACCCTCTTGCTGCTCTTCTGGGTCCCATTTGTTCTCACTCCTTTCATCTTTCCTGCCTGACTTTGGATTAAAGGACTTTTTCCAAACATCCGTCTTATCTCCTTTATTGGCTTGCTTACCAGTTTTCCCACGGATGTTCCATGTCCATGGAAGGATCCAGCCCCCGGCTGAGCAGCTCTGAGGGCCCCCAAGCCCCGTGGCTTTGGGATGGCCAGCGCACACCCCATATTTCTCCATCTGCCTTCCAAGGGCCATTGGGGCCCCATGCACAGCAACAGGGCAGGGCACACTCTTATTTCCAAGCTCTGTGTCCACAGATGTCAAAACTATACTCCTCTATTACTTCTGCTTTCAAGAGTCAACTGTTTTTTTTTAATATAGGTACATGTGTCACTGTGCACAATGACACCACATGCCTCTTTAGAAGCAATTTTTTAAAAACTAAAATTTAGAAGCAATTTTTAAAAATTTTCTTATTTGCTTATTCTAGAGAGCGAGATTATGCATGTGTGTGAGCAGGGGGCAGGGTAAAGAGTGACTCTCCAGAAGACCCCTTATATGGGAATCAATCCCAGGACCCTGAGGTCATGATCTGAGCCAAACCAAGAGTCAGCTGCACAACCCGCTGTGCCCGACCTGACTTTAATCATTTCTAAGCGTGCAGCTCAGTGGTTCTACATGCAGCAAGTTGCTGTTGTGTGGCTCTCACCACCGCCACCCACCTTCCCGAACTGTCCCAGTGAAGCCCTGACCACCCCCCCACCTCCCACTGCAGCCCCTGGTGCACCCCTGTCCTACTGTTTCCATGAATCGGACTCTACGAGGGACAGCATGAGGGATCACAGGATTGGTCCTCCCGTGCCCGGGTCATGTCATGGGCCCCACATGCTCACAGTCCATCCAGGCCACAGCAGGGGTCAGGGCCTCCTTCCCCGAGGCCGGATACCCCCCTGCAGCCCAGACAGGCCGGTCTGCTGACCCCCTGGCCTGTCAATGGACACACAGGCTGTTCCCCTCTTCTGGCCAAGAGGACTCACACCGCAGTGAGCACGGGAGTGTACATGTCTGTTCGTGTTCCTTCTCAGTTCTTTTGGGTAAACACACACAGTGGAGGGGTGGCTACATCATACAAGATTGCTATTTTTAACTTTTTGAGGGACCACCACACTGTTTTCCACAGTGGTCAGACCATCTTATGCTCCCAACAGTGCACAAGGCTTCCAGTTTCTCGGCATCCTCGCCAACCCTTGTTTTCTTACTAATGGTCATCCTGATGGGTGGGGGGTGGTGTCTCCTTGCGCTTTTGATTTGCATTTCCCAGATGACCAGTGTGATGTGCTTTATTTGGGCCATGGCCCGTAGGTGACGCCTGGAGAGAGGTCCCAGGACTTCTGCAGGAAGCCAGACGAGAGGAGGTGGTCCCATGATGAGGACTGATGGACAGCTGTTCCCCTTGCCCCGATGGCACATCAGCCTCTTCTGTGTGTGGCCCTTCCCATCTGAATGGTGATTTTGATGCTTCACCCACAGTAGCAAGTCACAGCCTGGGCCCTGCTCCAGCCTGCCACCCTGTGTCCTCTAAGAATCATACCCCACTATCCCTGGACATATCTTCCCTGCAGGGGACCCCATGTGTGGACCAGGATGGAGGGACCAGGAGAGGGAGACCCACAGGCTGCTTGTGTGACCTCCCCTGGCTTCCTCTCCTGTCTTCCTGGCCACCCTACTGCTGCTCCTGTCAACTCCCCTCCCTTCAGGCCACTGCCCCAAATGCATTGAGGACATGGTGCAGCTGGCTACCCCTCCCTGGAGAGCAGGGACTGTCCGGTCACCTGGAGCCAGGCCACGCAGGCATCTGAAAAACCAAGTGGACAGCCAGATGGGGGGCACGTAGTGGTGGCATTTCAGGGGCAGTGTGGGACATCACATCCCGTCCCGCCCCAGCTGCTCTGGCACCATGGTTCTGCACTCTGGCGTCAGAAAGCCTGGATCCAAATGCTCTCTCGTCATCACTGGCTGGAGGGGCTGCAGTAGCTGACTTTGGATGCCCGTTTCCATTTCCCATCTATACACCTCACAGGAAGCCCAGGGGGCCAGCACACCACCTGTGGGGCGCTGCTCCAGGAGGCCACACCCCCAAACCGGTAACTGAGTCCTCTTGTCCAAATATAAAAGGTTTATTCACTTCTGCCCTTGGTACAAAATATAAAACAGACCCCCACCCCCCACAGTTCTACAGCATTGACACCGGTGCAGTCCGTCCGGGAAGGCCAGCCCTCGGGCCTCGAACATGGCGCAGCTTGTACAGAGCACCGACTCGTGAACGTCACCACAGCTGCAATGTCACAGGGAAGAGAGAAAATGGCTTTTAGGGGCTCAGTTGTGTCCGCCTGGATTGGTATGTTGTGGTGCTGACCCCAGTCCCTTGACTGTATCTGGGGACGGAGCTGTGAGCCACAGGTGGAGCTAGCTAAGCCAGGGCCACACGGCAGGCGGGTGGGCCCTAACCCCACACGCGAAGTTACCACCCACTGCTGTCTGTCACGGCAGCCCTACTGGACTGAGAGCCAACGGCCCACCTGTGGCCCCCCCCCACAGGAACCTCCCGGCATCCAGTTAGGATTTACTGGACCACAGTAGTTCAGCGAATCATAGAGGAGGGTCCTCAGGAGAGACCACGAAAAGACAATAAAATTGGAAAGAGGCCTCAGTCTGAGATGCGCCAGCGCATCAAGAAGGCAGCGCAGTTGCCACCAGGCGGGGAGGGGAGACGGTAAGCCCGTGGCCCACAGCACAGGGCGTGCCACAGGCGACCAGCTGTGGGCAGGACGCCGATGGCC